GGAGGCCGGCAGCAGCGCGCCGATCAGGAGCAGCGCCGCCGCCGCCGCCACCGGGCCCGACGAGAGCCGCATGGCGGCCGCGCAGCGCAGGTGGGTCCGAGCGCCGCAGCCGTCGGGCCGGCCCTGGAAGCGGGCGGCGGGGGCGGCAGGCGACCCGGCTCGTGGGATGCGCTGGGCGGCGGCGGGCAAGTGGAGAGAGACGGCGGGGCCGCGGCTAGGCCCCCCAGCCGGGCGTTCTCCCTGCCACGTCGCGGCGCCTACCCCTCGGCCTCCGCCGTCCAGCCTCGTCCTCCAGCTGCGGCCGCACACGTGGGACGAGCCTCCCGCCCGCCGCTTCAGCTCCGACGGCCCCGGCGAACGGGAAGGGCGGGGAGTTGCCGTCCCCCGGAGGCAGCCGGGATTCCTCGCCCTGCTCTGCCCTGCTGGAGCGCAGCCCCGGAGCTGCCCTCTGCCGGAGTCGGGATGCCTCGGATCCCGCCGTCCGTCCCTCCGTCCCTCGAGGCTCCGTCCGCGGAGCAAGCGGACAAGTCCCGCGCTTCGTCGAAGTAGCTCCGGCGCCTCCCGACCCCGCTCAGCCGCTCCGCCTCCCCAGGGGCCGTTTGAGCGAGGGCGGTGAGGAGCAGGCAACCCAACGCGCCCGGGAGGTTCAGGGCCCGAGCGGCGCCTGCGGGTGTCCTTCCCAATGGGCTGCCCAGACCAGAAAATCCACTTCCCCCAATCGATTTTTATTGAGCTTGGCTGCAGTAACCGACTTTTCCAAATGGGATTGTGCCGAACCTCCTTTTTATCCTCCTGTGAACCAGGGAGGCACCTGCCTGAGCCGCTTCCCAATTTTCTCTTGTAGTTCTGGGCTGGAGAAATCCTTCCGTCCCTGATCTCCCCACTGAGGTCCTCGGACGCTTTACAGTTGGGCAGCAAGGAAGGCGCTGCTTCCTTCCCTCCATGGACTTGGAAAGAGAAGGATAGGGAGAGTATTTATTTGCATTTCTTATTAGGCAACCAGCACAACCCTCTCTGAAAAGTAGCCACTCTGCTACCTTATGTACGAGCTTTGCCCATCCATGGTTGCCCCCAGACATTGATGGAGAGGAAAACTTTCCTTTGTTTGGTCAATGATCGAAATACATGATTTCTGTTCCTTTCTGTGTGACAGCCAAGAAAACAGACCGAATCAAACCCATCAGCCCAGAGGCCTCCCTGGAGGCACAAACAGCCAGCTTCACCCCCTTCTCCTTTGGGCCTTTGGAGGGCGGGGGAAGGGGGAGGAAAGAAGAGGGCCAGCAGCAGAGCTGGACTCAGTTGTGGTGGCAATGAGGGCACCGTTGCGGAACCAAGTTGGGGAACGGAACCGCCTGGAGAAAATCTGTATCTATGTGGTTGCTAAGAACTGACCCCGACTTGATGGCACAGAATCAAAGTCAGTGAGAGATTGGAAGCCCACCTGGATGGATCCTCCTGCCTCCAGGGCCTCAAGTGCCCTGGAGTTAAAAGTGGCCCTCAGGAGGAGGAACCAGGGAAGGGCATCCAGCGGCTGGCTGAGCATGTTCTGTGAACCCGGCTGACCTGTGAGTTGCTTGCAAAGAGAAAGCCTGGAAGAGAAAGCAGCAAAGGCGAAACTGGCTCCAGTACCCAGGCAGAGGATGGGGAGGTGCCTGGACCGGCTGAGGCTGCTTCCCCAAAACTCAGCTAAATGCTGGAGAGGCAGGAGAGCCTAGACACCTCACTGACCACACACTTAGAGAACTCACTCGGCTAGTTTTGCTTGCAAACTCGGGAGTCACTGCTGCAACGGGCCATATTAATTCCCAGCGTCGAAAGGAACGGGCTAGTGGGAAACGTCCAGGGTTAACATTTCTCAGTTGCCCACTGAATGGGAAGGTAGCAGATGTAGGCGACGAAGACCATTTTTGAATGGCCACAACTGAGCATCTGTTCAAGGGGAGCTGGTGGAAACGTTGCCTAGTAATAAGCTGGTCAGCCCTGCCGGTCAGCATCCTGGAGCAGGTTTTCTCCTGGAGGCTTGGAAGAGCTCATGAAGACTGGGGTGTTCCGAGCAGAGCAGCCAGAAAGGAATTCTAGCCACTTTAACCAGGAGGGAAGATGGCTGCAGTTCTACAGCACCACTTTCCACACCCATGAAAGGAACTTGGAAGCTAATCTGTAGAGTGCAGGAGAAGGAGTGACAGGTTGGCCATGGCCCCAAGCGAACATGAGGGGGGAAAACATGAGGGAGTCTGAGACCAGAACCAAGGGCTCAGAGCGGGGGCTTCCCCTCTTTGGAAGCATCTAGGAAGAAGGTGAGAGGGCCATCAGATGCATGCATGCATGCATGCACGGAGCAGATATGGTGGTCGTGGGTTGTTTTATTTTACAGTCAGGAAGCGGAGGTGGCAGAAGGAAGGAAGGGTGTCTAGCTGCTCCAGGCCTCTGAAGAGTCCCCAATAGGACAAAAGTGGTGGTGTGGTGCCGCCTGGTGGCCACTGTTGGATGAAAACATCATGCAGGATACACAGGTAGTCCTTGACTTACAACAGTTCATTTAGTGACCGATGGCTGCTTCCCCCACTTATGGCTGTGGCAGCATCCCCACGTGAATGGTCAGGTGATCAAAGTTCAGCCCACTGCCAGCCCACTCATATTTATGACCGTTGCAGAAAGCAAAGTCAGCTTCACATAACCTCCTAAGTTACTAACTTTAACAATTGCAGGGATTCACCAAACAGCCACAGCGAGGGGGTGTGTGCAAAATGGGGCTAAACTGACTTTCCTAACAGTGCCAGCCCGAAGCCCTCCTGGAAATGGCCTCCTCCACCTTGCTGTCACACGCTTGCAGCACACAGAGCCCGGGGTCATTGAGGAGGATGCGCGCGGACTTGGGGGAGGAGGGACCTACTCCAACACCCCCCCCCCCCCAAAGTGGCCTGCGTGGCAACGTGCTGCCCCTGTTGGCCACGGGAGAAACTGTGAGGTGGTGCCACGCCTTCTCAGGAATTGGCTGGATCCCAAGGTGACTAGGGGAACAGGAACGCTTTAAGTACGGGAACGATTAAGGAACAGGAAGGATTAAGTGCGGGTCTCCAGCTCTTCGAAGGCGCTAGTCGGGCACAAGCAGAAGAATCCGAGTGGTGGGTGCCAGCTTGGTCCTGGCATCAGCCTGGGCAACCCGGCCGTCCCACTTCAGCGGGTGCTTCAGACATCAGCCTTAGGACAGGGAGGCCCCTGTCAACTTCCTGGGCAGCATAAAATAAGAGACACTTTGCTTCACTTTTATTACTGCAAGCAATTTTAATACAAAACGTGTTTGTTTTTAAACAATTCATTGGTAGAGCTTCCGGTTCTGGCTCAATTAAACCAACTGAGAGAATCACACAGCACTGTGGTCGGTCTGAGCAGGGACAAGAGTACAAGTGAATAAATACAGGAAGACCAGGTCACCCCCAGCCCCTTTTTGCAGGGTGGTCCCTCTCTTCCTCCACAAAGGAGAACAGCCGGGGTGTGTGTGTCTGCTGGTGATGCTTCTCCACCTCCCCAAGAGCACGTGGTGGTGGTGGTGGTGGTGGTGGGTGTGAGTTTCAAAGGCAGCTGGCTGCTCCACAGCAGAGGCTCTCTGGGGTCCTGGTGGCCGGAAGGGCCCAGACCGGCCTAAGAAAGCCACCTAATTGCAGTCTGTGAACTAAAACGTAAAATCAGTTCTTTCGCTCGTGGTTTGCCTTTTGGAAATGGGTTCTCTTGTGGCTAAACAGGAGCAAATTTAAGATCCTCCCACCCCCTCACTGCTAAAACCACACGGGTTTTACCTCCCTACAATGGTTCTGCCATTGTAATTCCCCCCAAATGTTATTCTTTGACAGCTTGACAGGAGTTTCCTTTTGCAAAATACAGTATTGTAGTGGAGTTCCTTATTTAAATAAAGCATGTGCAAAGGTCCATTTTCAAGCTATCTTCAGGTAAAACCATCGGAATTTATCTTTAAAATTGGAAACAAACTCCCTCACCGTGCATTTCTCTTATTGAGGTATCTGTGATTTGACAAGGAGAGAGAGAAAGAAAAGCAAGTTCCCTTCTTATGTTGGATCTCCAGATGTTATTCTTAAATATAATTTCTCTTGCTGAAACAGCACGTTATTTTTTTTATAAAGATGCGTTTAGGAAACAATCCTAAAAGATAATGCAGGAACATCTCCTGCACTGCACAGAAATCCTATTTATATCATTTGCTTGTTTTTACATTTTCACATCTTGACCTTTTGCTTCTCTCCCATGTTTCAGTTTTCCCCTGGGCCCCGTTGCAAGGAAGGCAAGTTTTATCTACAGAAATATTCACATGAAAAAAAAAAAAACAACCTATTAAAAAAAGAGAGAACCAAATAAGGCAGCTTCATAACACAATTTTCTTTTACACTTTTAACAATATAATTTCTCCCATGTAGAATAAATATACATCCAATGTATGAAGCAGGGTTAAAAACTGGACACAGGTTTCTGTTGTCTGTGCAAAGCTGGGCGTCCTGTGGGTGCCGCATTATCTCTTGGGGCCGGGAGATTTGGCAGTGCTTGTTTTCTTGGACATGGTGGGGATCTTGGAGGGCTTGGCTAGGCCCCGCCGGGAGCCGCCCTGTCCTCCTCCTGTTGCGCTGCTCTCCGAAGTGTCTGAGCAGGCGGACTGCGTCTCCAGGAGATCAAAGTCGGAGGCATCGCTGCCTCGCCGGCTGCTGGTTCGGCTCCCTGCGTGGCTGCCTGCACGGCTGGTGGGGCGACTGGCCGTTTTCTTAGGATCTGAAAGTCAAAGACAAATTTGACTTTACATCGCAAGGGATTTAACAGTAAAGCCTGCCCTACCATCACTGTTCATCTTCCCATCCCTCCTTATCGCCCATCCCCTCCCACTTGTGACTGTAGGACTGTAACTTTGTTGCTTGTATCCTTACAATTTATACTGACTGTTTCCTACTATGATTTGATTGCTTATTGTGCCCTATGAACTAAGTGTTGTACCTGATGATTCTTGACTCTTGACAAATGTATCTTTTCTTTTATGCACACTGAGAACATTTGCATTAAGCCAAATTCCTTGTGTGTCCAATCACACTTGGCCAATAAAGAATTCTCTTCTCTTCTAATTTCTCTTCTATTCTATTCTCTATCCCAGTGATCCCCAACCTTTTTTACGCCGCGGCCCGGTATCCCCAACCTTTTTTATGGCGCAGCCCGGTACTGACATCAGCTGGGCGCCGCCATCTTGTTTTGATGAAAAAGTGCTTCCGGTGAACTCACCGGAAGCACTTTTTCATCAAAACAAGATGGCGCCGCCCAGCGCTTCCGGTGAGCTTTTCCAGGTAGAAATGGCTTTCTACCCGGAAAAGCTCACCGGAAGCACTTTTTCATCAAAACAAGATGGCGGCGCCCAGCGCTTCCGGTGAGCTTTTCCGGGTAGAAACGGAAAAGCTCACCGGAAGCACTTTTTCATCAAAACAAGATGGCGGCGCCCAGCAAGCCAGCGGCCCGGTAGGACTTGTTCCACGGACCGGTACTGGTCCGCGGACCGGTGGTTGGGGACCCCTGCTCTATCCCGTTCCATCCCATCCCATCCCATTCTGTTTAGATTCTATTCCTATATTCTTCTATTCTATTCTATTGTACCCTATGACTATCATTAAGTGTTGTACCTGATGATTCTTGACTCTTGACGAAGAAAAGCTTTTATGTACACTGAGAGCATTTGCACCAAGACAAATTCCTTGTGTGTCCAGTCACCCTTGGCCAATAAAAGAATTCTATTCTGTCCTGTCCTATTCTAACAGTACTGTGTTCGACTCTCCCTCCCCCAAAACAAGACCAAGAATTCTCCTTGGCTCTTCCTTGGCATTTATAGGAGACCATGCGTGATCGACCTACAGGTTGGTGGGGCCACGCTGGGCTCCCCAACCCAAAGCATCTGCCTCTGGGTGACAGCTTGGTGCTTCCAAACTTCTAGCTTGGAACTTACCGGTCCGACTGGTTTTGGCACCGGAAGAAGCTGGTGAGGAGCTGTTACTGGTGTCCCCAGTGAGAGACGTCCGGCTGGAGTGGAAAGTGGGCCGTTTCAACTTGCTGCCCGAGGACGGGGCAACCTGGGGATAGAGAAGCAAGCAGGCCTGGTCACAGAGCCCCAGAAGAAAGCGCTTCCGAGGAGCCCTGAGCCCCAGGAGCAGCTGCAGGCCTCTTAAAGGCCAAGAGGAGACAGGCTTCACACGTGGCCTTGGGGAGGCTTCGCCCAGCGCGTCGTGTGAATTCAAGCCAAGCAGATGATCAGAGGCCATGCGCAAACCAAATGCCGGCCTCCCAGCGTCACCACTCCCGTGGCCAGGGAGGAAAGCGGGCAGGCAGACCAGAAGGACGGGAAGTGGTTAACCCAACGGCTCTCCTTGCTGGAAGAGGAAAGAGGAGCCCTGGGCTGGCCCTGGCCCTGGCAGTGGCCTTTTGGAGAGATCTGGGCAGCTCCCCAAAGCCTGCCTAGAACTAGGAAGGACGTCCACTCTGCTTAGGCATCCCTCTTAGGACCCTCCCCCGCCCCACGTGGGAGGGGCCGAACACAAGGAGAGGCTCCCGACGTCCTTCCTTGGAAGGGACCCAGAACAAGTCCCTCCCATAACATGAGTCTGAAATAAAAGTCAGTGCTTGGACTGTAACTTGAATATGTAGCTCATCTAGTATTATAACTTCAGACAAGTTATTTATTATAACTTGTGCTGACCACAGTTCCCAGGCTGCCTTTGTAGCTTAAAGCTTAATGGTGGTTCTTAGTGTTTTACAGTCATATAACGTATGCTGTAATTCTTGGGTAATTAATGATATATTGGAAAACTGTGATATCCCATGGCATTCTAGACCAAGTCTTGACTGCTTGTCCCCTTTTTGTTCTTGCACTTTATTTCTCTTCCTCTAAAATGCCTGATAGAAAAAAAACCAAGGCAGGCCTTTCCCTCCAAGCACCTCAATCTCTGCCAGCACCTTCTAAAGCCACAAGTGGAGGTTGAGGGCCTGCAGTAGGATGGCAGTGCGGTTGGGCCCCAAGGCTCAGGCTCCTCTGGGTGGGCTCTTTCCATTCCACTTACTTGAGGGGAGGCAATGAAAACAAAGAACACTCCACCCTGTCCTGAACCTTTAGATCAGTGGGGCCCATAAGGCTGGGGAGTTTGGAAGTTGAGGTCACCCATCAAGTTGCCGAGAGGTTAGGAGACATTGATAATTAAACACAAATTAAGAGACACTTATTATTCAAGCCTGAACTTCTTTTGCTCTCCAAACTTTATTTCTGAAAAAGGCCGCAGTATTTATTATATCCTTTTATTAAGCTTGGTCGGCTTTTTCCTCTTGGTTCTCGGAAGATGTTCAAGAGGCTCAAACTGGGGCTTCTGTAGAGTCAGCCTCAGAGCCAAATGAGCCTCTGGACCGCCAGGCACATAAGGGAGACACATATAAATGACCCCACAAAAAGTGGGGCCAGGATTTGGACTCTGCAATGGACAACCCTTTTTTTTAATATATAATTTTTTTAAAATTTTTATAACAACAACAAAAAAACAAACAAATAAAACCTTCTGCAATGGGCAATCCTGAATAGGACCTGCACCTCCCATGGCACCTCAATGGGGCCTGGCACCCTCCCCTCAGCAGGACTGCAGGGTCGCACATCAAACTGCAGATCGCACTGCGACCGACGGTAAGCCGAGGGCATCGATCGCTCCAGTGTCTGGTTTTTTTATGTATATATATAAATGATGCTGTACTTCAATGGTTTGCTGACCCATCGGTATCTGAACTCAGACCTTTTAAGAGTGTGTATATTTTATTGGGTTCTACTGATCTAGCTGAAATGCTCATTTATATTGCTAGTCCACGTACGACATGCCATATGCTAAACCACCACCGCGCAGCCAGCCTCTGCTTAGACAGGCGAGGGGGAGCAAGCGGGAGAGAGGAAAAGCCAACTCAAGGCCTCCCCTTTTGCCCACAGGAGCCATACTCTACCTCGGAAGCAGGCAGGTGGAGGTCGGCATTATCGCAGCCCCTCAGGGGGGTACCTGCCTTGCTGTTTACCAACCAGGGTTTGTCATAACAACGAGTGAAGTGATGCGGAGTCTGTGAAATGGAAAATCCAAAGAGAGTTCGAAGGATGGTGGTGGTGGGAGGACAAACAAAAGGAGTGGAGGAGGGAGGGAGGGAGGGAGGGAGGGAGGAGCGACCGGGTCAGAAGAAAATAAAACAGAAAAGAATATAAATCCTAAAATAATAAGTGAATAATAAATAATAATAATAATAATAATAATAATAATAATAATAATAATAATAAT